TGTGTGTGTGTGTGTGTGTGTGTGTGTGTGTGTGTGTGTGTGTGTGTGTGTGTGGGCAGCTATGGTCTATGAGACCAATTTTTCTGTTTACTCACCAGCATTATGAGACCAATGCGTTTATGAGACCATTGTTGATGGTCTCGTAATTCCTGACTTTTAAAGTCTCATATTTTTTTAGAAATGCTTTAAAAAAACATTGTTATTGGATTAATATATACTTTGCAACTGTTTTTATAATTTCATTTTGTTATTTCAGCAGTTTAAGCTTTATTTTTATTTTTTATAACCTTTAAAGATTTGGTTCCTTAAACCACATTGTGTACAATTTTCAAAYTTGGCACCTCCTGCTGGTAAAAAACAGAACTGCAGGGTGGACACAATGGCGCGAAACTCTATACACAATATCGCGCCACTTCGCCTGAACGGAAGGAAGTCCACACACAATCTCGCGGAATTTTGCACGAGGAAGGAGTCGTTTTTTGGAGCAACAGCTTGGTTTCGGGATGAGGAAAATCGCAGACAATTCAGAAGTAAGGACCTTTGTTTTAAATGTGTATATTTTGTGCTAAATTTAAAATTGTGTAGCATATAAATACCTAGGCTTTCAAAATTATGTGACATGTTAGTTAATTCATTTTAGTTATCTCTTATTGTCTGTCATATGGGTTAAGTAACTTTTGAAAGGTAAGCCATATTAACTATCCTTTTTTTGCTGACTTTATTCTGGTTGTTGTTTTTTTTTATTGATAATTACTTATAAATCGAAGAGAACTTGGTGGAACCTAAGCTAAAGTTACCATGAATTATCATTCTTCACAGTTGTATCCCTCCGCCATTAAGCAACATTTTTGCTTTTTCTATTGTCAAAAATGTGTTTTTTGCCAAACCATAGTAGTTAAACAGAACTGTGTTAGGTCGTAAGTAGGCTGATAATAATTGGTGTTTATAAGGAATTTAATATTTTTTTGTTTGCCCATGTGACCTTAGACCGAACGATACCTCCGCATCCTTTTTTTTTTTTTTTTTCCTGGTACATAATGGGAATTCTAACGTGGTTGGCTGCTTTAAAACTTAAAACCCACCGAAGAGAGTTGTTTTCTCTTTCCATTTTATCAACAAAAAGCCCACGGACTTACACCCCAATAGAGAGCACTTCCTGGGTCTATTTTATGACTGTGACTGGCCACTAGTAAGCTCGGACCACTGAGTAGCACAGCTTACAGCAGTATGAACAAATCTCTGAACCTGTGCATGGTGAGTGACATTTTAAATGTGGGTTGTCCCCGTTTAATTATTCAATCGTGCAGTTCTTCGCGTTTACTAAACCAGAGCGTAGCGTAAGCTGATGAAATTGTAGCTAGCGCTAATGCTAACTTTAGCATTAGCTAGCTCGTTAGCTCGTTGAGGCGATCAACAAACAGCTGCTGTTGTAGACATTATACCACTGTATTGTACAGCAAGCCAGATGAAAGCTTTCAAAAAGCGTCGAAGCTACAAGTATTGTGTTTAAGGTTGTTAAACATTTAGGATTCAAAGAAGCTTTATGTTTGTCGATTTGTTTCTGCCTGGGTGAGTAGTGAGTTCTATTTTAAGTAGTTTGCTTTTCATCATTTTTGTGCATCTGGACCACACTAGACCTAGTCCAGCTCCAAAACCACATGACCTACACCCTTCATACTTGGACTAGATTATATTACACTATTAACAGAATAATTAAAATTTAGTTTGAGATTTCTGAAGCCTTTTCCTGATTTGTAACTACATTACAGATAGCTGAAATTTGTTTTTGATTATACATATTAGTTAATAAATTATCTTTATTATAAAAATCAAAATAACTATTTGACATATTTGTAATTCTTGAAATTTGTAATGACATCAAATTAATTACAAGGTTGTATGGCGGATCCAATTTAAGGTATGTTGAAATAAATTAGGCTTGTTAAAAATACAGTTAGAGAAATTGATTTGAACTCATTTGCTTAAGACATACAGTGTGTTTAATATCATTCTGACTAGTCAC